AGGAATGTTTAGGACAGAACATAGGCTTGTTGAATGAACAACAATATTAATTCTCTCAAATACGCAAACTCTTTCTTCTGCTGAGCAGAAAATTAATACTAACCTTCACAAACAAAAATTAATTCACTTTTTCAGAAGAGAATGAAACTAAGAATTTTTCAGGATTTCTGTAATAAATTTATGTTGAGATTTTTACCTTAAATAATCTTGCGGAATGATACTGATGGCTGTTTCAGTTTTCACATCCAGAGGAACTGGCATCAGCATTAAAAAGGGGGGATCAAAATTTATTTTTGGTGACTTCACAGTGCCAGACAATGTTATTTTGTAATGAGATGGATTATCATTTAGACACACTGACATTTCAGATGCGTATGTCCCAGGAGAAGCTGTTAAAAACATTAAAAAAAAAATCAAAACAAAAAAAAACCCCACAAAATTATATTACCATAAATACATGCAACTAAAAGCTATAGTAAGAGGTTTAGTTTTGGTTTTGTTGTTTGGTTTTGGGGTTTTTTTTTTAAAGTCATTAGTATTGCTTTCTTACTCAAAATGTAGCTTAACATACAGTAAGTGTTGTATCAGAAGATTTATTTATTAATAAAGCTTATAACACTTGCCTGTAGCAAACCAGAAATCCATATTTTTTTTTTAATTTGTCAGAAATCTTTCGAAGTTTGAGTTCTTCATTTACTGTATTAATATTCCTTTATATGTAACATCAATGTAATGCTTCTCAGAATTTTAAGAATTGCAGTCATATCATAAATTACACTAATTAACACAGAGAACACCAATTTTATAAAGGAATAAATACCTGAGGCATCTGACTGCCAAGACAAGAAAAAGTTGGTGCCTTTTAAGATGGCAATCACTACATTTTAACAGATGACTCTAAAACCTATACCGTTGCCGAGTCAGCCTCACACAAGCCAGCAGGACAGGTTCTACCCTCCACTGAGAGCTTCTCCTATTTCCTTGTGTTCTGCCCCTTCTCATGCCTTCTTGCTAACTGCTGCAAGGCAGTTTTCTCTAGGATGAAAAAGCACATTTTCTTTCACTGATACAGTGAGCAAGGTGCTTCCTTCCGCAACCATTACACTATCAAAATGGTGTTCCAAACCACGCGGTGACATTTACCAAGTTTTTAGTCATTCCTACCTGCCGAAGAGCTAGCAAAATAAACAATTTTGAGAGCCAACTAACAAACACCTCTTGTATCTAGAAACAAATCTGCATGGCATGTTGTAAGACAACCCAAAACTTTAATCTTTTCATTTTCAAGAAAAACACCTTTCCCTTTGATTCCCCTCTGTCATCAGATTAGTAAGTATGGAAACATCCTCATCTAATATTTAAGAAGGAAAGGAGAGAAAAACAAATAATTTTGCATTTTGTGTGTCTGTATAAGCGCATATGCATCACTGCAAACAAAATACACGTGACAAGCTCTTCTGAGATTAGCTCAGATAATTATTTTCACAGCCTGAGAAAGAGCTGCCATTGTTTACATACACAAAGAACAAAACCTAGTGTCTTCAAAATATTTTGTCTCTTCCATCCTCATAAGAGCTAATTTCTTCATGGAGATGGTAACAGAGGAGCTTCACAGAAGCCTGTTAGCTCACCGGAACATGGCCTGCAGATCTGTTCATTTCAGACCAGAAAACATGGAACTGGCAAAGTGAAAACCAGATAAAAGGGGAACTTGCTGCAGTGTTGGCAACATCTGCCTAATTCCCTGTTCAATAGAAATCAGCTATATGAGGCAATACTGCTGAGAAGGCTAAGCAGCTTGTGCTTCTAGGTTTTGATACAGCAAGAACACACCTTTTTCTGGCACTTAGCCCTTTAATGAGGGAAAGGTGAGAGAGCATCAGAAAAGGTCATGGAGATGCACGAAGAGCCAAACAGGATATTTTTGACGTACTTGTAAGAAAAGATGTTCTCTACAAGTAACTCTCATATACGAGCTAGACAGTCTACTGTCCTACAGCTGTGCTCTGACTAAACCATATTTCTGGTATCTTATCTTCATACACATGTATGGTGCATGGTAAAGGAAAGTGAAAGGTCATAACCAATAAACGCCATAGGGATGGAATGCCGTGAAGGAAGAGGAGCATATGTCAGTACCAAAGAATATGCAATTTTGACTAACATTTTAAAATATTTGTATTAACCATAGTTCCAAAGTTAAACCTCCAAAAGTTAGGAAAGAATAGTGTTAAGCTTTCCCCATATAAAGTTTTTATCCATACTGTACATAACAATTCTAACAAATCCATTAACTACAGGATCACACTCGTTTGCCAGAGAATTCCTGACTCGCTCACAAGGCAGAAAAGACAGCGCTTATTCTACATCACTGATCATTCTGTGTGTGGCTGCACACATTTACTAACATCAAAATTCTGCATAATATGTAAGACAATAATTTATTGCTTATGTCAGAAACACTAGGATGTTGTGATATTGTCCTCATTTTAAACAGACACAAAGACAAAAAAAGTTAATTATTCCATTAAGTTTTGTTCATTACTTTGTAATGCCTAGGACCAAAGTTTTCAGCATATTTCACGTTAAATAAGTTACTTTGAAATTAACGAGAATTACATCCTGAACTAACAGCTGAAGTCATAAATTTATCCTGTTAATCACACCTTTCATGACTACTGTCAAAGCTTGTGTTGCTGTTACCATTCTGATATAACATGAATTTCTATAGGGCAAACAACAAGCAGTCCAGCCGATATGAAAATTTACCTTAGGGAGATTTGATGGTATTTACAAACCTGTCGATCTAAATTTTCCAAGGGCTTACAAAATCTGTAGAATTATATGGGAAATTTCCCCTCTGTCTTTTCTAGGTATTTATTAGGGGAAGTAAGCATTCATTGCCTTGCCTTAGAAAAAACTCTCAATAAAAGAATGCAACTTCTCAAAGTACATGTGTGCATACATTCATTAGCTGCTTCATTTCCAGTCTAATTTGCACTAGAAAGCCCATCCAGTCCAGAGTGCCTAACTCCCGAGCATGCTATCCTGGGACTACACTTTATGCAGATCCCTTGTTAACAGAAACATAAACAGATTATATTTCCACTGAAAGTCAGTTATACACATATGCAAGTTCTCCTCCTGATACTGCTCACACACTTCTGGAGGAGAAATATTTCAAGTCCCCACACCTTCCACTCTACCTGTTTCAGTTGCAATTTAAACTAGCAGCAAAAGCTAGTTTAAACGGCCACCTCTTTAAGGATGTCTATATTCTTTGTTCCTCTCTAGCAGCACAAATCTAATTTTTGATTTTTTCCCCCCAGAAATCTTAACTGTATAATAGCATGTTTTTTGATCTTTTGAGAGTGGGTGGGAAGAAAGTGAAATCACCATCTGCTCTTCTCACACTCTTAAGTTTGTATTAGATTGTTATTCAGTTCCTACACTTGTCTCCCAAATAAACATTTATTTTAGTTGCCTTGGATTTTCTGATAATTCATGCCTTATTGCATATATGCACCTTCAGCATAAATGGGTGCCAATGAAGAATTTGCATACACTGAAATACAGACTTCAAAGCAGAAGAGTCACAGGTAGTTAAAACGTAAAGGTAAGCACTACAAAAAAAAAAAAGAAGAAAAAATAATCATAAGCTAATCATTTTTTCACAGAAACTGTTAAAGGGCATAGTTATCTAATATCTTACTGTTACAGAAAAAAAAAAAAAACTAGAAGGTGGAGGTCATAATGGTCATCTGTGCACATAATCATCACATCTTCCAGGGGCACTGAACTACTACTGTTAACTCACTGGTGCATTTGTGAGTATTTTTCCACGCAGCATCCCAGAGCAGAGTTTTATTGTAACTTAATATTCTGCAGATAAGTTTTTTCATACCACAATAAGATATAGTGACATTTTTCACATACTGTTAATGCATTATATTATAGTACAGCAGAAGAAGATTATATTAATATACCTTCAGTTCTTGAGAATCTCTATTAAATTTAGTATACTTAACAGGTAGCGTCATATTACCATGTATTATGTAAACTCTTGCATTTAATTTAACATTGTAGCCTACTATAGCTTTTTGCAGTCTCATTATTATAAATATTGCAGCATATTTAAACAAATTACTCTAATACACACTCAAAGTTCATTTTAAGGTGTGTTCACCCCCATATACTACAACTTTACAGTACAAACCTATGAAGGTGATTAGCACACCATATTCATTTACTAAGTCTCCCGTGTAGGTTTTGGTGTATCTCATGTTCTCTTACAGAAAAAAGTAATTATATTGAGAGAAGGTATAGCACAAGTAGGCTATAAATCATGGGAAAATACTTAGAACATCAAATTAAGGGCAATTGATTTTTTACAGTTATTTATGATTTTCTGTAAATAAAAGATATGGCAGCACAGCAAAAATACAAATAACTTCAAATAATTATTTATCAGTCATATTTATGTATATACACATCTGCCTTTACACATACTATTTGTTCAGTAATTCAAAATATTGGCTTTTATTTGTATGCTGTTCTCTGCTTCACAGTCTTTGCAACACCACTTTGCAACAGTCTTTGAGCCACGAAGATGGTGAAGGGTTTAGAGGGGAAGCCGTACGAGGAGAGGCTGAAGTCACTTGGTCTGTTCAGCCTGGAGAAGAGGAGACTGAGGGAAGACCTCATCACAGTCTACAGCTTCCTCACAAGGGAAGGAGGAGGGGCAGGTGCTGATCTCTTCTCCCTGATGACCAATGACAGGACCCAAGGAAACAGCAGGAAGATATGCCAGGGAAGGTTTAGGTTGGACATTAGGAAAAGGTTCTTCACCCAAAGGGTGGTGGAGCACTGGAACAAACTCCCCCGGGAGGTAGTCATGGCACCAAGCCTGACAACATTTAAGAAGTATTTGGACAACGCCCTCAGACATATGGTGTGAATTTTGGGGTTGTCCTATGCAGGGACAGGAGCTGGACTCGATGATACTTGTGGGTCCCTTCCAACTCAGGACATTCTATGATTCTATGAACATGCAAGCAATTTTAATACATTCTCATGATGTAAACACCTAAGTAGAACAACCATCATATGGATGATCATTTCACCTATTTGTTATCACGTGATCCCTCTCCCGCTGCTCCACAAAGTAGTATTACAATTTTTTTTTTTTTTTTTTAAATTTCCTCTGTCTTAAATGCCAGAGTGGTACTTAGACGAAGGAGAAAATGAGACCCTGTGCTCATCCGGGCCCTAAAAATCACCAGATATCTGGAAATGCAGGTTTATTCTTTTTATCTTCCAAGACTAATATTGCCGTGAGCAATTTTCTTTTCCAAGCTACATACATTAACCTAATCAATGCAAAATGCAGCTATTGTATCTCCTATTAGAATATGTTTATCAAATTCAAAGCACATGAAAATGTTTGTGTTCTTCACAATTGATTCTTTTAGTATGATCCACAATTATTCTAACCATAGGCACACAGTACAAAAATATCTATTAGAATACCTTCTCAAAGTTATAACACTTATTTTGTAGGCTTTATTATCTGAAATACTATAGAAAAAAAATATGATACCCTATTGAAAGAAAAGTAGAAATTTATGAAAGGAGAATAAAATGTTTAAAAGAAATAGAGTTACAGTAACCTACATGTATATTTTTGAATTGCTTCTCAAGGAACAATAGAAGGTTGGGCCGGTCCTGTTCAATAGCCTGGTGAGGCTACACCTCGAGTACTGTGTTCAGTTTCGGGCCCCTCACTGCAAGAAGGACATTGAGGTGCTGGAGCGTGTCCAGAGAAGAGCAATGAAGCGGGTGAAGGGTGTAGAGCACAAGTCTTATGAGGAGCGGCTGAGGGAGCTGGGGTTATTTAGTCCGGAGGAGGCTGAGGAGAGACCTTCTTGCTCTCTACAACTACCTGAAAGGAGGTTGTAGTGAGGTGGGGGTCGGTCTCTTCTCCCAAGTAACAAGCAATAGGATGAGAGGAAATGGCCTCAAGCTGCACCAGGGGAAGTTGAGCTTGGATATTAGGAAAAATTTCTTCACCGAAAGGGCAGTCAGGCACTGGAACAGGCTGCCCAGGGAAGTGGTTGAGTCTCCATCCCTGGAGGTATTTAAAAGACGGGTAAACGTGGTGCTCAGGGACATGGTATAGTGGTGGACTTGGTAGTGATAGGTTAACGGTTGGACTCTATGATCTTAAAGGTCTTTTCCAACCTTGACGATTCTATGATTCTATTGTATGATTCTATGATTATGAGTGTTTGTTTTTCACTTTCCAACCTTCTCTATTTACCATTCATCTCTCCTGTATATTCTTACTCCAAAGAGCTGGGGTCATAATACATATTTTTTGTAACTTTAATACTGAACATCTGAAAAGAGATAACTTCCAGATTTTTCTCTTCAATCTCCCTCTGTGTTTTGTCCAGTCTTCCTGTCATCCTGCTCCCACTGCTTAACCCCTTCCAATTTTTGTATTGTAACATTTTATCACACCCTGGGGCAATATTTTCATTCAATTCACCTAGTATCGTCGGCATTTTTTATTTCATATTGCTCCGAAAACAAATTCTTTAAAAAAAATTTTTATCTCTTTTATTTTATTTTGATAACTTGTGTAAGTTATCACTAAAAACTGATTGAGGATTTGAATAGATGAGATGAAGATAAGATCACATCATTTGGTTCCAAAACCAAGGATTACACGAAGTACAACATAGAACCTACCTAGTAAGAAAATCTTTATTGCATTGAATACACTTTTATGTCTGTTTCATAAAAGTGTGGTTCATAGCCAAAAAACAGGGGGTTTGCAATTTACTTTGGAGGAGTGTAGGGGAAAAGGAAACAAAGTGATGCATCAAAGCCAGAAACATGCTCTAAATATTTTTGCTCAGCCTTCCAATAGTAAATGGCATTCAACTTTCTTCTCGCAGTTTAATTTGTAATAAAATATAATTTAATAGAGTAATTTAAAAACGTATTTCTAAAAGGATACCTCATGGACTGATCAGAAGTGTAAAAACCACAACTATAGATACTGATTGAGTCAGAAACTTTCCAGGTATTATATGCACAAAGAAATAGTACTTCAGAAAAATCAGAATTTGCTACTCAGAACAGAAATTAAAAGAATTTAAAACAACCTTCTAAATAATTCTGCAAAAATCATTATATATTAATTACTTTTCCACTCCATGATGCAAAATCACAAGCTGATGTGATTTTTCTTCAACCATAAGTTGAAAAGAAAAGCTACCAACAAGGCATAAAACATAATGAAAAAATGTTTTTAAGTATAGCAAGCAACTCCAAGCAACACATGCAATTAAATACTGCTCTTGCATATTTACAACATGTTTGCAGAGCAACATTTAATACAGTCTTCTCAATTTCTCACACAGAATCATGGCAAGACTCTTATAATTTTCTTTTATTTATAATTATATTAAATTGTCCCCAGTGCTTAATCGAGGTTATAGATCTCAATTCTATCATATAGACTAGCAGCAACATCTTTCTTTAGGACAGGGATGTTCACTTGCTGACTCAAGATTGGATCCAACTGACAAAACAACTTTTCTTCCCCTCGAGAATGCTGGGGCCCCAAAAGTAGGCCACTTAAATCTGTCAAAATGACTCTGAGTTCTGTAGGAGTCAGCTGCATATGCTGGTGGGCTTTATCAACTCAAATACAGTGTTACATTACTGTCTATCCTAAACACTTGACTGGGAATAAGGTAGAATCCTGAATATTCATTTTCTGTCATTCCTCTTCTGGTGTATGTGGTTGATTACCATCTTCCTGCATGCTCTCAAGTTTTGTTAGAAATCTATTTTATGTTTTTTATTTAGAATCTAGTTGCCTGAGTAGACTACTCAGAAAATACCATAGCAAAGTGATTTTGTATCTCATTGAGGCAGGAAATCTCCATTCGTATCTAAATTATGGCTATTTAGAAAGAAAGTTCACACACATTCCGAGTACTCTTGGAAAGCTTTACTATCTAAGTCAGTCAACCTACATGAACATGAAGGAGCAGTATTGAAAGTGATTCAGCTATCCCAGCTTTTGATGCTTTATATGTGCAAACCAGACTTTTCAGATAATGCTGTTAAGTCATTCCATGCTTTGTGTTAGGTCTGCAGCTGTCTTATTTTATCAGAACCACAACAAACCTTTCTTCTGGCATTTTAGTTCGTTATTTAGTCATGTTAACTGGAAGTCAATCAAAACAAGCACTAATTATGATTCATCATAAAAAGTCATCTAAACAAATCTATGGAAATGGTATATTGGTCAAACTACCCGTCGAAGAATTCATAAAATTACTTACAAGGGCAGAAGAATACAGCAATACTGATTTTTTGTCCTGGATCAAGGAATCCAGCCTGCAGACTAAATTTAAAAATACTGTCTTCTGTATTTTTTCCTGCATCATCACAATTCAATTTCCATGTCAACTGCTGCCTTGAGATATTCTTCAGGTCAAGCTTCTGTAAAAATTTGCAGAGAAAAGAGGACATGATGAAAGAGGGAAAGCAGCAAACACCATGATACTTTTCACATTGCCCTATACTAAGCATTCTTTTTGCAATCAGATCAGAGTAAAAGCAAGAAAGCACTAGAAAGCAATGAAGAACCCAGTTTATTATATCGGTAAGGTGAGAAGATGAGTATGCCTATCAGTACAGACTAGATGCTTTCCAGTCACTCACCACATTCAAAAAGAGCAATACTTTCTTTCTAGAATGGAAAAATTTATGTGAGGTAAATAGATCGAAGTGTCACTATGGGAGTACTTAGCCAAACAGAAATGAGGAGTTTTTCCTGATGGAAATGAAGCACAGCAAGCACTAAACATATCACTCATGACATCTAGACTTACAGGTGGATATGCTGAAAAAGCAAGAAGTTCAGAATAGGTTTTCAAAACCCATTCTTTCAACTTAATAAGATGAAGGTGGAAACAAAAAAAAAAAAATCCTTTCCTTTATCTCAGAGTTACTCTTTCAACTCCTAACACATCCATAGCTAGGAAGAGGCCTTGACTTTGTATTATCATTGTTTTCTGAAGGTACTTGAAAATGAGTTTCAAGTGTTTTCATCATTGCCAAAAATTGTTTTTTATAATTTCCAAACAAAGCCTTTGGGAATTAGAAACAATAAGTTATGTTATGGTATGTTTTGCAGTCATACAGTCAAATTCTGTGTTCCAGAACAGAATGGCTGCAGCCAAATATCCTACTTAGTCCCTCTTTCCCATTAAGCCCTAAATCATGACCAGGAACTTTTTGGGAGAGTGCCAGTTGGCGCAGAGCAGTACCATACAACATATTGGGACAGCAATTTAACTGCATGGACCATCATGGCACATCAATTGCATTCCTAATTCCTGCACTGTCACTATCTAGTTTACTAGTATAGGCAGAGGCAGAAAATCTTTGGAAGTAAGCTATTTCTTACACAATTCATGATCAGTTTCTTATGGTGCCTATGCTATCTCATAATATTAGAAAGTCAGGACAAGATCAATTTTGAGTTTTGGAAAAATTCCTAGTGATCAAAAGACAAACCTAAAATCAAAAACTGAACAAAATGAAAATGAGAAAACTTTTAAATATTTAAACAATATATTTGGAACATGACTGAGTTTTGAGTTCCAAATCTGTATTCTTCTCCCAGTCATTTTTGAGCAATTAAAAGCTGTAGCCAAGAATAACAACACTTGTGATTACGTACCTGAGAATTCAGACTTTCATCAGCAATATTGAAATGTATGTCACTTGAATGTTGTGCAAATTTAAGTTCCGTTGAGGAGAACTCCAATGGTGATTTAAGTACTGTTGGAAAAAATAATTTAAGATGTTTATACAGCATCATTTTGACAAATATTTCCTCAAACTCCCTTCATAAAATCATTGTTTCTGCACATTTAGCAGCAATGTTGCTCCCCTTGTTTTAAAGCTTTATTTTCTTTCTGTTGTTCCCATACTATATACATAATTACTGTAATTTAACCTTGTCTTATTATGACCCTCTAGTCACATTAAAATTATTTCAATTTTGTATCTACCAGACTTATAGCATCTCTCTTTCATATAAAGATGCTATAAAACAGAGCACCACATGATCTTCCTATTGCAGATGAATGCATTTACATTTGTGATGGTAATCATCAGAAAAGACTTGAAAGATTTTATAAAAACAGCATTTCTCTTCATTTCATATAGGCGGAACAAAGAAATCATCAGAAAGGATGAAGTTTAAAGTGAGGATTTAGAAAAACAAAGGTATGTGTCCCCACAGTCTCATTTTGCTTCTTGATTAGATTAAACACTGGAAATGAACCTAGCAAGCATACAGTATCCTTTTATTAAAATCTGCAAGTTTGTTACATACTCAGTGAGGAAGCGTGTTGATCAATTCTCTTCTCCCCCTAAAAAACCCAAAGGATTTCCTAATCACATATCTCACATTATGTAAACAACAATACTATGTGTATTTCTCTAAAGCACAGGCACATAAACTCTATAAACTACTATTGTGTCAAGGTAGGAACCTAATCTGCTGGAATGCTTCCACCAATATGCAACTATGTCACTCGTGAAGTCCTCCCCTCTCATAGAAACTGCCTGTACAAGGGAAACACAGCACAACTGAAAGGCTAGGAGGGAAAGGAAAGGAAATTATCTACTCCATGAAAAAAATTGAGATTGATCATTAAAAAAAAAAAAAAAAAAAAAAAATCATTTCACATGAGGTCATTACATTCATAATATGTCCTCTTCCTTTGTGTCTGGCTGAGGTAGCGCTTGTGTCTTTCCCAGCTGACTTTTCTTTTTAGTTTTGGTTGTGGTTTTATTTCTCACTTTCAGTGCTTTCTTACATACCAATAAGCAGTTTCCAAGGGAAAAGTCCTACAAGTATTTAAGTAAGAGACCTGCTTTCCTTCCCAGGTGCTGAAACAGTCTACAAACTTTGATTGTAAAAAAATTCAAAAAAAGTTCCATGATGGATTGAAAACATATTGACTACATTGAAGTTAAAGGACTGGGCTGACTACTCCAAGATTATTGTGATTCTTTTCTCAGGGTGAACAATCCTGAGTACAAACATCGGATAAAAGCTATTGATTTAAGTGCCAACTGCACTGTCCTGTGCAGTCTGAATCCCAGTCAACCACAAAAAAATGTCACAGGGGAAAAAAAAAAAAAAAAAATTATAACTGTGGAAAACAAATGTGCCATAAAGCACACAGTAGTGAGAATTAGGCATATTTTTCAAATCAAAACTTTGAACTTGCAAGATGCATCTTACCCACTTTTAGTTTTTCAAGTGATAATCTGAAATGATAAATCAATAACAGCCATTTTTTAAGTTGTCAGAATCTAATAAAATTAACAAGTTCTTTTTTAACAGCAAAAATAATTTGGCTAGTTGCCTACATCTGTATGATTATGTGAAATACTGAGTGGTCAAGACATTTATTTAGACTTCTCTCCCTCCTCCCAGTCCATCAAAATTCCCAGTAAGAATGTAATTCCAATGCTCATATTTAAATAGAAGCCACACTTTATTTTTTCAAATATTCCTTAGAATTGAATGTAGTAGATATTCACTTTAATACTACGATTACTTGTTGTCAGCCTATACTGGTACTTTGAAGAAATTCTATGTGGCAGAAGTACAAATTTGTGATAAAATTTAGATAAAATTGTCATTTATTAGCGAGACTTACTGGTTGTATTGATTCATTATTCCACAAAGAAAGGGAAAAGGATATGAACATTTTATTTTTTGTTCAGGTTACATAAATCATTTCTGCACTAGAAATTTGTTGCTTTGATTCGTGATTTTTTACTTAGAGATGTGCTTTCTAATAATCTCATATACATATGTACATTTATCTTTATTCTACATGTTCTTAAACTAAATACATTTAGAAATGTTTAATATTTATTTACTTCCACCACAGGATCTGAAGAAGGTCTCTCAGATTCCTTTGATATCTTAAAAGATCTCAAAAGTAAGACTTAAAGTGCTACAGAGAAAAAGAAAAAAAAAACCAAAACCAAACATAGATAAAACCTAATAAATTGGAGTTGCTTTTACCCCATATTATGCATTTAATTGGCCAAGACTCCTTCTGTGCTCCCAAGATGCTTAAATATTACACAAACGTCATTCCAGGAAGACACTTAGCACTTAAGTCTCATCTCAAATAAGCAGTGACTACATATTAAAAAACTGAGATGAGGAAAGCTAGTGGATTCAAGTATTCATAATATGTAGGTCTATATGACTATAAGGATCAGACAGGAAGCTAAAGAGAACCAAAAATTATTTCTAAGAAAAGCAGAGAAGAATCATTTAAGGTATCAATTTCTTGCTGCAGGCAAACGGCCTATTACTTTGGCCATTAACAAGCTCTGACAGGCCAGAAGAGTGCAGTTCTACACATAAAAGCAAACAGAAGCAAATGGACTAAATTACCACCAGTTCTCTCATCTGAGATCAGGGCCAGTCAGAGGCATTTTAAAGGAATTTTAAAGGAGTTTTAAATATAGCTAGAGCTCCTAGTTTTGACAGAGTAAGACTAGAAAAAAAAAAAAAAAGGAGTATGAATGACATACTACTTTTCTACACTTTTCATATGAACTGCTGTAAATACTGGGGTCCGTATGATAAGGTCCAGTAATACTAATGAATGAGGAGAAACAAAAATGAGTTTTGGTAAACTAATTTTTATATAAGGCAAATAACTATAAAAAAAACACCTGTATTTCCCAGCATGTCATCATTATGTATAGAAAGTTCAGCTTTAGACATACTGAAAAATTCAAATCAAAATTTGAAAATTTTGCAAGTGTCCAAGAAATTTACAAATTATACAATTATCAATCAAATTTCAGTTAAGTAGTAATTCTCTGCAATTAGAATACAAGCAAAAACATCATCACAACTATAAGTATCCACCATCTGCTTACATCCCTAGTTTACCTACCAACTGCTTTAACTCTACAGAGTGGAACAGCCACAGTCACAGCCTGTGGACGCGGAGTAATGATGTGCTTTACAGATTCAACAGAAGTTGCAGACACAGGGCTTGGCTGTGCCAACGCGAAGTCAGCCCAAGGAGTATTAACTGGAAGAGTAAAGTCATATGCTGCCACCTAAAGGACAAAAATATCATTGTGGTCACTTTCCCAAAGAAATGGTAGGTACTTCTTGAACATCTGAGTGCTATTACTATTTCAGAAGAATTATTGAAATTAACTTAGGACCTGATCATGATAGTAATAGGATGGTTGTTTATTAGCACCCAGTATCAGCCCTTTAAATAAGCAACGGCCAGACATTTTTTCCCCCACCAAGGAAAAAACTGTATGCCCAAATGCATCAGGGCTATCAGCACAGCTACAGACAAGGCTTCTGGTAAATCACTGTGTTGTGTTCCTCTCCAACCACTCTGAGTGAAAAAAGATTGGAGCAGTGGCCCAAATGCGTAAGCACGAGCAAAGAGAGGGGTGAAACAAAGCTATGTAAGTTAAGAAAGCCTTTCTCAAACACTGAAGAGAAAAGGTCAGCTGTTACAGTATACCCAGCATAAACAAAATGGGCTCTGAGATCAAGGTGGAGCATGAGTTAAAATTGAGAAACCTCAGGAGAAAAAAAAACAAACAAACAAACAAACAACTCTTAAAACCTTTGTCACTGAACGCCACTGAATTCCAGAAGTCCAAATTCCAGTGATTTTGATCCCAGTTTTATCTCTGCAATCACATCCCCAAATAAGTGGGATTTAGAATTTAAAAGATAGCATGTTTTATACAAAATCCTCTTTTTTGACAGACTGTGCACTTGAGAGGCCAAATTTATTCCACAGTGTACTTTCAAGGAGGTATTTCTTGCCTGTCGCTCTGTCTTTCCAAGGATCAACACACTAGAGCAGTATGTTCTCCAGACAAAAAGGTATGGATAACTCTAGCCTATAAAATCTACATGCTGCTTAAAATTTACAGTAAATCCAGCTATATAAAGAAGTTATGAATCATTTAAAAGCTTTCAAAAACTGCAGAAAATAGTGCATCATGCTTCACTTTCACATACGTGGTAGTGAGTAGAATATATAAATGACAGGAAAGAAAAAAAAAATTGTCCTAAGCCAGGACATGAGGCACGTAACCATCTGTAACAGAACCAACACAGAGCTTAGAAAATGAGAAGAAAGCACGCAGCACTTACAGTGTTTGGAGTTCCAGCAGGGTTTGTAATACACAATTACGAGCTCCTGGTGAGCAAGATGTGTGCTGAGCCTTGTGGAACATTTTGTGTATTTGTGCTTAGCAAGAGGAAAGCATGGGATGAGAGGAAGTTTTTCTAGTGAGATCACCACAGTCCCTTGATTTATATTGATCCTTCAAATCTGATAATGATTAGATTTTATAACATAGAATTGGCTTTTCAAAATTAACATGGTGAATGCTATTTAAGTTTTTTTAGTAACTAATGCTCGAGGTGTGTCATAGACAAAGATTGAGTAAAAATCTCCTGATTTAATTTACATACTCTTCTAATTTTAGTATCTCAAGTCACCCACGTTAAAAATTTCATCAAGTTACATCTTCAAAATATGCTCTTGTGGCATAAAACCACATAATTAAAAATTAGACTGAAAAGGATCTTTTCTTCATAGCGTGAGAAGTTCCTTTTACTTCAAAATATGTGTGAAATACATGATTTCATGTCACTAACAACAGTGGTTCCTTACAGTTTTAGAGAAACAACTGACTATCTTTTCTTATAGTTCAAAGTAATAAGCATTGCATTTCAAGGCTGTGAAAGCTGTCAAAAAAAAAAATCTTTTAAAACTTTTTCCAAAAATATAGCAGAAGTTTGATAGAATAGAGCTGAATACATCATTATTTGGTAACCCTGGTAGCTGTTAAAATACATATGTAAGAGACAACTGTTAAGTGAACCAATACTAGGGGGGGGGAGGGGGAGGGAGGGGGAGAGGGAGGGAATTACAGGACTCTCTAGGTCAAGCATCTCATACAACAGTCACAACACAGACACAATCCAAAGATTCTGTCACACTCCTTCAGCTGTATGAGAATTTTGCTATATTGGGTATAGTGTACCCAGCATACATCTTCAGAAGCGTAATACTCAAAATGCTGCATAAATAATGAACTTATCTCCCAAGCATTATAGGTCACTGTAGGGAGAACAGAGAGAAGATGACTGCACATTTAAGGTTCTGAGATTCCTCCCAGCCTTGGCAGCTCCCTATAGCCAGTAGATACTTCCCTACAAGGGCAATTCTAACACTTCAAACACCATTGCCAAGAATTGCAGTAAAAAAGTGAGCTAGAAAATCCTTCCATCCCTAGCATGTATGACGTATATAACAACATAATGACACTAAGTTTTTAAAGTTTGGTAAGATTAAAATGCTTAGTCTATAACAGATACCATTACATCATTGGCTATGCAAAAGTGTACAGTCTAGCACTGCAATTGTTTTTCATCAATGCTGTTATGTTTAGTATGTTTACGTTGGACAATAGAAGGTGGAATCCCTTTATCCCTCTCCTAAGCAGCTATTCAAAATTCATTTTTCATCCCCACTATCAGGAAAATTTGGCTTAGTCTTACTACACAGCGAGGGTTTTATTTGCTAAGAACTGGCAAACAAACCAAATATGTGCAAGGCACTCACTTAATTCACTACATGTAGGACATGATGTTCACTGAAAACCTACATTTGCTTTGAAGTACAATGGTGCAAATTCAGAGCCAATATAACTTATAGGAATTTATAACTGAGAACAAATCGTAGACCTTTTGTTTCACTCATACATATCGTTGCCTCATTAACTGCACACTAACTAACCTGTACTACAAATGAAAAAAATCTTTTAAAATTCTATATACCTAGAAATCATATCATAATTCATACACATGCACACATACATACACGCATTACTGAAACAGAATTAAAAATCAAATTAATTTTTTTAGGACTTCACTTTGCAAGTTGAATCATTATTTTTCCCTTTGTACATATTTTAAGAAAGAAAATTTATTATTTGTTTTTGATCTCTAAAACTCCATAATGGAAAATTCTCTCTTGTAAGGTTATATAGTCAAAAAAATTAATGACAATATTTAAAAAAATGCCTCATACTATTCTTGGACTTGCAGTTGCTTTTTAAATAATCTATGAATTCGTTACAGTTATTTATTTTTTAGATATTTTTCTGAAGCTGCATTTAACTTCATAAACCAAAGAATACAGGGAGGGGCAGGAAGCAAGCAGCCTAGAGAGAGTTCTTTGACAAACACTCAAGGTTGTTTATATCATTATAAGAAATATTTTTCCAGTCCTGATTTACACTAATTATGCACGTTAATTGGAAAGGTGGCATCATCTACAAAGTGGTAGTCTTAGCAATTAAAGTACTTCAAAAGAAGCTTTAAAAAGACTAGTCACGTGAGACAAAGGAGCTTTTTGTTATGCATTCACATAGCACACCTCCAAAGGATGCCAGAAAAGGACATGCATGTGTAGGCTGCCACCAGAAGATAACAATTCTTTAAATAAAACTGATATTCCTGCAAGCTTTTATTTACAGGGCATTTTAAAACACCTTCCATTTTTTTTTTGTTAGAATTGCTAAACAAATAAAAGTTGCTGATTTTAAGAAATCTGTCTGATCAAGAAAGCTCTGCTACCGAAACTCATTTGAATCTATGAAATAGGTTTGATAAAAAGTACATGGCAGCTCTAAGCCCAACATTGGAGAGTGAACATAGTTGAATGGCTTCCCGCCTCAGGCCTAAATACCTGGTATACTGAAAGAAACAAAAGGGGGAAGCAGCATCCATAACAATTAAAACAGTATTTTATATAAAATTCATGCATAAAAAAAAACAAACTCAAGCACAGCTGTCAGGATGAGGGGGGGAATCTGAGAGTAGAAAAAAAAATTAAGTTATTTTCAAAAAAACACTTTCAAAGCAGTTACTTCATTTCTGTCTTTACTAAGTACCCCAATGCAATAGTATATTTTATGCTTTATAAAATGTATTTTGCTAATTATTATTGTAATACAGCACATATTCTCAAGATTGAGTAAAAATTTTGCTGTCAAATCCAGGAACAAAGAATATGTGACATGTCCCTAAAAATTACAGTATTTGCTTTCACAGTACAACTTCACAGGGAACTGCAAGCAAACCAGTAAGCTAATTTATGACTTAAAATTAAGTTAAAACATCTGTAAAGGATAATACTCTTGTATTTATCATATAATAACATGCAGACTGTTCAAATATCTTGAAGCATTATAAGTCATTGAATTTTTGTGTAAAGGATGATTTTAAAGTTTATTTATAACACCAACAACATACGGATTCAGCAGTGACACAAGGAGAGAAAATGTAATGTATGTTAAAAAAACCAGTTTGATTCAAATTTAAGCCTAACTACAAAATCAAGGGTTCACGTCCTGCAACTGTATACAATACACATTCTCAACCTCCCCTCAGGTTTAACATAAGCTTTTTTTAAAACATACTTAAATCTTTCATGCAGCCTAAATTCCCCAGCTTTATATCACAGATAAGCAGCTTTCCACAATGAATAATGTAACCAGTGTTCAAAGCCGTCATTCAAAACACTGAAATAAAACTAAATCTTTCCCTTGTATACGGTCAGAGATGATGCACCAGCAATACCCTGTAATTCCACAGCTGCAGATTTTCCATAGAATTCATTTCTTACACCATGAATTCTGTTCTTTCATTAAAAAAAAAAAAAATTAAAAATGCAAAAAAAAAAAAACACCAAACAAACCAACCACCTGTCACTTCTCTACAAAAAGCTTAAGCAATAAGCTCTGACAGGTGTGACTTGCTCTATTTATCTCAATCAAAGGCCTTCGTAGGCTTTATTATTACACAGCTGTGTATTTTGTCTTTTTTCCAAGATGCTGGAATTTTATATTTTCCAGCAGGGTAAAAAAAAAAAAAAAAAAAAGAAAAAAAAGAAAATCATTTGGAAGCAGTACAGTCCTGCATCTTGCTTTGCCTGCTTTCCTTACCAGACTATGCGTGACACTGTGGCTGGCAGGTGGGTCATCCTGCGTGGAGAAACACAGTAACAGTTGAGGAACAAAGATGAGGAAATATTTGAAGTGACCACATGCTGTCTGTTTCCCTGGCACAAAACCAAAGGAATGAGGTGCTCCTCACTCTTACCTGGACAGGTAGCTTGCAGAAAGACAGCCATAGTCAGAAAAGCCATGCTTCTATGGTTCTTGGACAGTATGATTCAAAACTCAGTTCAAAAATAACCACTGCTAGCAATCAATCAATAAATAATATTATTAGTAATAATTCTTAGCTCTGTCTCTGGATAGGGATGAGGGAGCTACAACAGATATTTGGCCAGATAGTCATGGAGTTTTTTGTTTGGTTTTGCTTGGTTGTTTTGTTTAGTTACCAGAAAATTTTTTTCTATTCAGCTCCAAAATGAGAACCCTGTGTAGCCCATCAGACATTCAGCTGGCTAAACCTCCTTATACTGCAGTGAAAAAAAACTAAAACATAATTGAAGTGTCTCTCAAATAAAATTATACCAAAACACAAAAGAAGGCAGCATACAGCCTATATACAAATATGACATTAAGAAGTATTTGCTAGCTTACCTATTTATATAATTCACAGACAACAGACACCAAGGTTAAACTCTCTCCAGTGAGGTAGAGAGCCCCGTCACCTCCAACACCTTCTGAGACACTGCAATAACAGGAAGGCACAGCCAGGCCATGTCTGAGCAGCATTCCAGCCTTATCCATAATGCATCAACCTCTTTTTGCCACTTAGAATATTGGGAGAATTGTCTCAAAAATTTTTAGGTATCATTTCATAAGCATGCCAATATGCTGTGTCTCTAAGAGCGTCTTTTGGTGTCATGTTTGTACATACTAAGTTTTAGTGAGAATTGTAAGAGCTATTCAGAGTTCCTATGTATTTACTTCCTTTGTTGATCTGAAGTTTTTTGAGGCAGAAGGAAAGCTATTGCCAAGTTCATTTTTAGCAGGAGAATTCAAGATTGCATTCAAGACTAAATTACTTGAAACCTTATGTTAATAATTCCAGTAGTTTTAATAAAATTTTAAAGCGTATTAAAGTAATTTCATACTTTCGTGATTTTTTTAATCAATGCTTCTGAATTATTTTGCTTTAATTTTTCCTTAGTTCTAGTATCTACTTTCTTAGCAATAACATCAATATAGTGGGGTTTTGTTGGTTTATAGGGTAACGTTGTCAGTAATGACTACAACAACAGCAGGAAGTTTTAGTAGAACCAGAAGGCAGACAGAAAAGAATGTGACTCAATGGGATACAGAAGGTTTGTAGCAGCTGGGAGGTAAGCTGGGTAAGAGCAGTTGTCCAGAAAATGGTGATGAGATCTGAGAAACAGCTGTTCAAGTGCAGAGGCAGGAAATAGCATTTGCAACCATGAAACCTGAATAGGGGAAGCTCAATATACAGAGAAGATTAGAGTTTTTTCAAGACTGGAAAGTCAGGAAAGAGAAGGAAGAAATCTGGTGAGAAAAGGGGGAAATCTAGATGAGGTAGAATGATAAAGAACTCAGATCCAATGGGGAATGTTTTAAGAATCAGTAACTACTGAAAGTTTCTGATTACAGTAAGAGATACTGCTACCTGGACCACTTTCTTAACAGAACTATGCTTTTTATTAGTATTCTTCTTTGCAGGAATTAAATTAAATAAAAGCTACAGTATCCTGGGGGGTACATATACATCCAGATGCTTCCTTTAGTCATGCCATCCTGGGCAACATATTTAGTTTCCAAAGTTAACTTCATTTAACATTAGTCAGTGCTATTGCTGCCAGCTATCACTGCTGCACTAACTCTCAGTGATGTTACCTTGTGACCACCAGCGGGCTGTAAGTTGTAAGTGTATTTGGGCATGTCTGGCCTAGCAATAAGTAAGCTGCCCCCTGACAGGCAGGCAGTAACACACTTGGAGCAGAAGGGAAGCACTGGTTGTACAGTGAGCTTACCCAGCACCAAGGGCAAAGGGAGACAGAAGGACTGTGAGCGCATGGAGAGAAGGGGAAACTGAAATAAAGACATTTCATTAAAGCAGCACTTATCAGTTGGTTATGAGGTATAAGGTGCCCCAGGAAAATTTCCTTTTTTAAGTTCTTTATTCCCTTACTTCTGAATCTGTTTGCCAAAAATTATTCTCAAGACTGGAAAAACATTTAGACCCAGAGTTTGAAAAATTAAAAAGAGATGACATCAGAAACCCTATAGAGAAATTTGTAATCAATAGATGCAATGTATTCTACAGATTTTGGTTTGGTTTTTTGTTTGTTTGCTTTTTTGTTTTTTAGTGTTTTTTGTTTTGTTTTTTTTTTTAAGAATAGCAGTCACCAAAGAGTTCCAGTCAAATGTAAGAATTTTTTTTTTTTTTTCCAAATTTGTATCATAATTAAAGCAGACTGCCAACTGGTATAACCTTGTGTTCAGTTAGGTTACCATACCACCAGTATCAAATGACAGTTGGAGATGCTCATCAGTAACGAACAGTAATACTGAACAGTAGTTCAGATGACAAGTGAAATTAAACATAAAGAACCATCTGCTATTTCAGCAGTCTTCAGAAATATTAATTTAGTTAATCACTTGAATTTACAGCAGTGTCAGTAGCAACATTTCTACTCTTAATCCATCCCGCAACTTAACAAGGAAAGAAAACAGTAATAGAGCTCAATTGTAACAATGTGAAATAGAGTACTGGGAGGCAAATAAAATCCTTGTTTTGATAGTTTGGGGCGGGGGCATTTAAGATTTTAGAGAGTTGATATTTCACTAATCTGTAAGGGGGACAACTGACTTTTCACTACACTCTTTTCCTCTACAGTGGAGAATAAAGGATCACTTTGTACAGCAGCACTATCACCAGAGAAATCCCATGCTATAAGAGAGAACAGAGCTGTCAGATTTCAGGTTATGACTCCCATCAATATGTATGTGTTTTAGATCCTATATGCAATTGTGTGCTTTTAGCTACTGAGATTAAAGGAAAAAAAATAAACGAAAACTGCATCTACAGCGTAGATTAGAAATACCTCTGTTAAATACTTGACAAGACTTAAGTAAAATTGTTTTATGAAAATAAATTGAAATTGAGGCCGTGGAAGTTAAGCTATTGTTACCTGTTAAAATCTTATACATAGTACACACCCTTGTATCATCCGTAGAACAATATTGCTAGACCCTATTTTGGTATTTCTAGACCCTATTTATCATTTTTAAATCAGTACATTTGTGGCATTCTATTTTTATAGAACCCCTAACTGAATTTTCTGTATAGATGCTGAAGCAAAAAAAAAAAAAAAATTTTTTTTTCAAAAAAATTAACCACTAGCTCAACTAAGCTAAAGTATTAGTTGTACCATGATCACCTTGCTCCCATCTAATCCACAAACAGAGCAAATTCCTTAAAAGTAAGTACATTCTATCCCAAAGTAATCAGATAATACAAAATAAAAAACAGGAAAGAATGGAAATTTGGGAGATTTGGAAAGTTCTTACAGAAGGGCATTACAATGTTAGCAACCATTTCCTTCCTCTGTTTAGTGTTACATCTATGGCTTACTAGAAGCTAACTGGCAGTTATGAAGCAGCATTTTGTTTGTCATTTCTATTGACAATCTTTCAATTAGAACAAAGAGTTTAAAATGTTGTTGAATAGTTATGATTTAAAGCTAGAAATGTTTTATAGGAGACTGCTGTTACAACAGGTTGCTTTTGTAAATTAAATATGCATCTCAGGACTTCACTGGTAAAATAAAAATCAAAACTAATTAAGTTCCGAAGCATGGCTGTAAGAACAGTAATAATGTATACATACCCTTTAAAATTTCAATCAATCTTTTCCCCATTTTTGTTTCGCATGGCTCTACACTATTTTATGTACTTTTTATTTATAAGGGAAGTTAGCCTTTCCACATTCTAATTTCAACATTTTAAGCCAAGAATCTATATTCCTTTGTATTAATTATTGTTTAACTGGTTTGCATTTCACACTTAGAAAGAGACAGCCACTAAGAAGTACTGTTATAATTACTAAGAGCCTTAACATTTGCCTTAGTGGGCCTAGAATTTTATCTTTGGAGCAACAACACGCTGTTAGAATATGATTTTACAATGCACAAATGTGACTGACTGACAGATTACTTGTCCATTTGGGACAGAGTGAAGCATTTCTGGTGATGCTTGTCCAGCCCCTTCTTCAGAGTCTTCAATAATGGAGATATCTTCTCAGGTAATTTATTCCAATATTTGATTCTTTTTGCTACCATGAGTTTTTATATCTAACCTAATGCACCTGGCATAATTTGAACCCACTACTCATTACCTATCTACTGCAGTGAACAAGCATATATAAATTATATTCCACAGAATATCGGAAGTTAGTTCCATTTTTTACATAGTTTGTGCTTTCTGGACTTCTGATAATTTCCATTGCTTTCTTTTGGACTTTCTCTCCAAGGGAAATTTTGCCACGACTTCCTTTAAGGATGGGATCCCAAACGGGAGAAGTGTTCCAGCTGAAGTGTTATCAGCACTGATTAGAATAATTATTTCACTTGCTTTACGAACATTACTCCTATTTATGTAAATCAGTATGGGGTCTGCCTCTACTCTTAATTCTTGTTCAGCTTGTGATCTACAATACCACACACACAGATTACTCCAACAGCATTATCTAGTCTTGCATTTCTATTATTGACCCTTCCTACCTAAATGAAAATGTCAGCATTTTTCCTTACCGAGTTCCTCTCCAGTTTGACAATAGGGCACTGATGATATTCTGCATGTACCATTTTGCAAACAACTACATACTTTCCTAACACTGTATCTAGTCTAAATCTGATTACCTTTCTTATGAGAATGTTGCATCAGACAGTGTCAAGATACTTAAAGATATGACATCTACTGCTTCTCCCCTAACCTCAAGGCCTGCTATGCTACAGGAGGAAAATAATTTGGTTTGAAATAGCTCATTTTTCATGAATGTATTGACTCATGTTCTGTCAGGAAAAATCATCTCAGAGTAGTGAATGTGCTATAAATTCACACCAACAGCTATTTCACAATAGCTTCCATGTGTACACAGAATCTAAGTTGACAGTAATAAGAGGAAGAAAATCACAGTGTTACCAGACACAGCCTGTAATATGCAAATATTATTTGAATGATGCTTTGAACAAAGGAATTCCCTTTTATTCAAAAATGAAAGTGCTGGGAAGGGGGGCAGGGGGGAAGCGAAAAAAGAATATTGTTGACCCTTGCAAGATGCATTGTCTCTGATATTCATTTATTTTTTTAAGGTAAAAATGCAGCTAATACAACAGTTTTATGTGCTGTAGAAGTGGTCCCCAGCTGCTTGTTCTAAAGCTGGTTTATAATATCAAAGACTAAGTTTCCTTTCAGTTCATTGTTCTCTAAATATGTGGAAAACCCAAACCCTCCATTTCTAAAGTGTTGTTCAATAGGTTTAGATTTAAAATTTGCTATAGCACTCTCTGTTTACACCTACTGCCAATAAAATGCTATTTTCCTGATGTAAAACTAACCCATAAAGTCTCATATCTTCAATTTCTTTCCCTCAAATAGCTCAATCAGAAAGCAACTTTGCCAATCTTTATGACACATAAAACTCCTCTACTTTTGCAGTCCCTTGGTCATCTGAGAGTTAAAGCACAAATAGCTGCAAAAAGAAAATGGCTGCCAGTTTGTTGAATGACTTAATGAATGTATGGTAAGACACTTCAATTTAAGTTCATACCTTTTCCATTTTTAAGTCATTAAGAATGTGTGTTTTCTTTGTGTATGCAAACATTTAAGGAAAGCAGCAAATGTTATATAAAGGTTATTTCAGAGATTGTTTTCTTAAGAATTGGAGTACTGTTATAAAACTATTGCACACACTAAAATGTGCATTTAAAATGTCTATATTCTTTCACCATAGAAATATCAGAGAGCATGATTTTAATCTAGCATAATCACCGCTACCCCATAAACCTACCTCTTTTGGCATGAAGGACAGCAAGCATTGCAAAGCTGACTTTCCCTTTAAGTTAACCGAATACAAATAAGGCTTTGAAGAACAGCAGTCAACCACTGTCAAACAAAATTCAGAAGCAAATTACAGATGCTATTACACTAAATATCAACTTTGTAGTAGTTGCAGTACTTCAAAGTGATTTCCAACATAAGGTATCTACATATCTGTATGGTAAACATTTCTCAGAAAGTTACAAATGAATATAATATTTCTCATAAGGATTCTGGAGGTAATTTGAGAAGTGTTAATCACCAGCAACTTTCATTGAAGTTATCGATTTGGGAGAACACAATATTTCAGAAAAAAAAAACCCACCGTCATTTACCTTTGAATAAAAGCATTAGGCAAAAATATTTAACTAAATAATGAAAACTAATACCACAGGGAGAAAAAATAGTTGAAACTGCTTTTCTAAATTACTTTTAGGCATAATCTACACTACAGAAGTTTACCAGTAAGGCTTGCTTCATTTTTCAGACTTTCATGTCCAATTTTAAGGCACTGGCAGAAGCATGGGTTTCCAATAAACTAGGTAACATTCCTCCGAGATCAGCATTCATCCTGGAACACCAGGATCAGTATTCATCATTTGAACAGTACTGGACCTGACTAGACGTCACATTACTTGTTTCAGGCACAAACTCTGATCTAGAAGTCATTTGCAATGAGGCGACTCCCACACTGGCTAGTTGCCTGTTGTAGACAGTCCTACAGTTACCTTCCAAGTGAAGATGAGTGACTAGGAGCCCTCAGCTTCCCTTTAAAGTCTACCTCATGGTAAGAAAACCCCTCTGTTCTTGTCAGATCATTTTTTGTCATCGTCCACATA